TGCTTTCTCTCTTTTCTTTCTTTCTTCAGTTCATAGATCCTCAATTGATAAATTATACAATGATCCCCCTCACATCAGAGTGGGGTGTTGCTTTGGATTCCACAGGATATTTTGGAGAACGAAACAATTCACTACAACAAATCATAACCTGTTAACTCTATGACTAGACCTTTCTTACTCCTGAATTTGGAACCGTATGAATTACTCAGCTAGAAATCTAGCACCCACATGGTTATTTTCTTTAGCTGCCCTTCTTACAATTGACCATTTTTATTGAGGATGCCTCGAATGATGCCCCTTAACCGCTCACCTATTTTAATGGGAAACAGACTTGGATGATCAACTAATAAAACTCTTCACCCTTCCAAAGAAAAAACATCATCGAATTTCTACCATGCGCTTAACTACAAGAGCAGAAAACAAAAAAGTAATCTGTAAAGATCTAGGAGAATCCATCTTATAAGCTAGCTGTTAAAGGGCGAGAATCCAAAATCTCTTATAAACATGACCTCCCATTAGTCAATGCAGGACTAAGTGGACCTTAACATATCACCATGCCTCCATTGTTCCGTTCTAATACCATTTGTAAGAGACGTAAGAGAACTCACCCAATGACGGTCCACAGTTGAGGTGGTGTGCCAAAAGAAGGAGGGTCATTGAATCAGTGCACTAATATCTAAGTCTCTCATGCTTTGCACTGATCCAAGGGCTCTCCTCTCTTGACACACCATGTGTCCAGTGGACCTGTGTCCCCTCCCCATATAGTCAATGCAAGACTTAACACAAACTAGTCAACATGCGACCGAACGAAGCCTAAGAAATGAGTCCATGACATCAATTGTGCATCCAAATGATGTCGACCTTTGGATCTGTGTAGGAAACCTGAAGTCCAATAACCCAAGGACTTACATTCACTTGGCGCATATTTACTGCCATGGACCCTGGCGCACTTTATACTTTTCCCTAACACAATCACCACGACTTATCCCAATGCACCAGTCACAAACTATGTATCCACAAAACTCACTTCTCGCAATCCTAAAACACCTAATTGGCCATCAGATCCTACTACTACATTCTAATTCACAAATTCAAATAAATCAAGCAAATATATCATCAGATCTAAAGTGAACAACTCAAACTACCACAACGAAAAAGGAAAAAAAAAAGGATCTTTCTTACTTACAAGAGGTCCTGCTACCAACGTGACCAAGGAAAGCAGCGATCTCCCTCATCTTCATCGTCTTATTCCCCGTCGCCGCCGTAATGAACGAGTGATAATCCCAGAACCCCACCGCGTGAGCTACAGGCGCGTTCCTCTTCGCGAACAAATTCTCGAATTGATAAACCTGGAAGTAATCCGTGATCGTCTCGTTGCAGCAGTAGATGCTGTTCTTGCACTCCCAGCCCTTATCGCAAACCTTCAGCTTCTTCGCCGAGGCGAAGGAGAAGGCTAGGGCTAGGGTTAATGCTAGGAGAATCGCCGGTGATCGCCGGAGAATCGCCATTGGTGATTTCGTTGGTTAGGGTTAGGGTTAGGGTTAGGGCTTGGGATGGAGGATCTTTTAGAGAGAGATGGGGGGGTTGGGGGTTGGGGTGTCGGTGGCGGGGTTTGGTGGAGCGTAGCTGTTACTGTGATTTGTATGCGGCGTTAGCGGGGAGGACCTTTTATGCGGGTGGAAGATCGGCCGTTGATTTGGGGGGCGATTGGAAGGTCGCACAGAGATATTTATGCGGGCGTTGGAGGTAGGAGAGGGGTCCTTTTGCTTGGATGTCACCCAAAGTAAATTCCAGAAGCTGCTGGAGTTTACTGCCACGTCATTCATGCCTTAGGTTGTTTTTCATGGGCTCTAGCCCAGTTACGATATGGGCCTGAAAGTGTATTACTAGTATATGGGGGTTTGGCCTTTTAGAGTATACACGTGAGAATTAAAGATTTAGACACCAAAAAAGTTCCTAGAGCGTGCGTTTGTGTTTCACGTCGAAACTAAAACAGTTTGAGAATTTTGATATGATCGATGTGAGAATAATGATGCATGACGTAGAAAATCTGAAAATGCATAGTTTAATAGTAGAAAATATGCATGTTATTTTCAATAAAATAATAATAAGAATTAAGCAACTACGTACTATTTCTCATTTCTGTAGCCATTGGTAATTGTTTTAGTATATAACAATAGATATTTTAAAATGATAAAATGTGAAAACATCCCATATTATAATTGGTTTGTGGAAAATCGTCTGAGCTGTTGAAAATAACAGAAATTAATGCTCTTGTACTGAGCTTGAAGCTAATTTTGTTCTCTCCTTTTTGTTGTTAGAGGGAGGCATTTTCATGAGGACCTGCATGCTATATCTTTGCACTGAACTCCCCCACTTCTTTCTAACCTCTTGCTCTTTCACATAGGCAAGTTATAATTCCCTAGAACCTTATATCATCACATAATTTCTAATAATCTTGGCATCTTACAGATTCAATATTCAATCCCATGCTATATTAATTATACAAACATATCATCTTGATAAGTACAATTGATACATTAATTATACACAATTACAACTCACAAATCAACCATAAAAGCCATCACACCTTCTCCCAATCAAATACTCAAAAACCACACAACCAAATATCTATTTCTTGCCAACACTTCTAGTACCTCTCCCAATATTATTCATAAAAGCTTCTCCAATCCCTTCACCAATTCCCTCAATCAGCCCCCCAATAATTCCCAAAATTGCATGACTAGCGACTTTCGCTGCATTCCCAAACAAATTTGATTTCTCATGTGGCTTAATCCCATGGACGTAGAGCCCATTCACCATATCCTTTGCACATATCGCATGTAGATAATATCCACAAGGTAAGCAAGTGTAAACTTGGCCTGATCTTTTCCTTCTACACATTGCGCAGACAAAGTTTGCATCATTCGCCATACATGGCAACAGAATTAGAGTATGATGGTGAGGTGGGAAATTCATTTGTTGATTCATTGTAGCACAACAAGGGTGCATGTCGAATCCGCAAGGAGTACAGCGAAACGAGTATCCTTTGGTAGCCTTGCCACATATGTCACATTTTGAGCGCCCGCCTACTAGTACATCGTGGATAAAGATGTTAAGAGAACAAAATTATAATCCTTGATTCTCATCATAATTTTAAAGTTATGAAAGGTTGGAAAATACTATAAGATGACATACCAGAGAAACTCAGGTTAAGAAACACATTTTAAAGAAGAATTTAGAAGAAAAATATCATTGCATAATGTAGTCTAGATTTCAGCCTATGAAAAGGATATGCGCGCCATCTTGAAGTTTACCTGATTTTGCGCAGAAAAAGAGCTCATGTTGTGGATGGAAAGGATGGTTATGTAGAGACCGTGGAGCGAGAGCGCAAAAGTCATGGAGATCAAACTCGCATATTTCGCACTTGTACCTCTTGCCCGCACCGTGTTCTTTGCATCCGTTGCAGGTGAAAAGATAGGGTAGGTTAGTTAGTACTAGAGGGTGATATGGATGGCTAAAATGGAAAAAGTCATCATCCTGAGTTGGTTTTTTCATGGTTTCAAGCTCCATTGGCGGAGATTTGGATGAGAGGAACCTTCTTGACTTCTTTAATGTCAAACTGTTCATGTTTCTCGGCGATCCACGTGATTCTGGTAAGGTTCAATGAGCAAGCTAGGACCAGTGATATTTATACTGTGAAAAGTATGATTTGTGTGATCTCATAGCACATGATTTAAAGGATGCCAGTGAGCAATATAGAATTATTGGGCTAATACAGTTGTGTTGATGCTTCTCTTGGCACTGTAACATGACTCTAGAATCTGAACCTTTTCCCGTTAAATATTTCATATCGTTGTTGGGTATTGTTGACCATGTCTAGAGTTATATACCGAAGAGCTCGACGACAATAACCATGGAAAAAAGAAAAAGAAAAAACTTAGCAAACCAGTCTTCTGTAATCTAGAACTACAATGTAACACTCAAAGAAAGGTGGTAGAATGATGTCATGATATTTTATGATTAAGTTGGCAGAATGGTTAATAGTTACCTATGAGTATAAATGCCAAGCTTGTGTGATCATGTCGTTAGATTGCAAATATGCTATACCTATACAG